GAGCCGTATCCGTGTGAACGGAAGACTTTTTTGATATCGAATTCGGTTTGTTTGCGTTGCCGTGTAAATGAGGTCTGAGACTGACTGTCGGTTGTCATACGAGGGCTGTCAGTGTCAATAATTCACGGTAATGATATTAACACCACATTTAAAAAGTTTTTTTTAATAATGATGCTATCTCATCGGCAAATTAAATACACTCTAAATGCAAGTTTGTGTGTGGGCGTGCAAGGAATGGGACAAAGCAAGAACAGCAATACACATAAATGATATAAAAAGTGCTGGATTATAATAGCATGTTAACATAAGTGCATGTTATCATTATATACATTTTATTTTTATTTTGCATTAAATGGTTATTGTCAGTACCGGTAAATCTTGACACCACTAGTTGACATTACTGAAAGTCACCCGTCCCCTACATCACAGTATTCACAGAGAACAGGATGGGGAGGGACCTGCCTGAAGAGAGCTATAGGCGGCCGTTGGTCTCGAACAGAAACAAGGCACAGCAACCTCCTAGAGCTACGGGCAGTAGTGTTAGTCCTCCAGCATTTCAAACCCTTATTTCAGGGGAGGCATGTAATGGTCAGGAGCAACAACAGCACCACAGTGGCATACATCAAGAGGCAGGGCGGAGTCCGCTCCGCCGCCTTGTTGACCACAGTGGAGTAACTGTGGTTATGGGCTTAAGAAATTGTGTTATCTCTGAGAGCCCTCCACATCCCGGGACTGGAAAACAGGGGGTCCGACCTCATTTCGAGGGGCGGCCCCCTGCCAGGCGAGTGGGTGGACCTGTTCGCCAGCCGGCGCAAAACAGCCACTGTGCCCTGTGGTTCTCCATTACTCTGGGCAACGATCCACCCTTAGGGGTGGACGCGTTCGCACACGAGCCATGGCCAAGGAAGCTGCTCTACGCCATTCCACCGCTGCGTCTCATTCTCCCTCTCCTGTGGAGAGTGAGGCGAGAACGTCTGTCAGTCATCCTAGTGGATTCCAGGAGGCTGCGCCCAGTAGTGGGACCTGCCGTTGGTGCTCGAGGCTCTGGTCACAGACCCATTTGAGCCTCTGGAGCTCTCCTCCCTGAAAGCACTGTCGTGGAAGACAGCATTGCTACTTGCCTAAACGTCAGCCAAGAGAGTGTCCGAGTTAACCGCTCTATCGGTGCACCCAAGCTTGTTGATCTGGGGTGACCAGAGCGGGGCGACACTCAGGCCGAACCCCACCTTTGTGCCCAAGAGCCTGAGGAGTGCTTTTGACTCATGACAGCTAAATTGTCCCCAGTAGATCAAAGCAAAAATAAATCAATAACGAGAAAGCAAGAGAATGAAAGAGGTTAAAAGACACAGAGAGCAGGATGACAGAGAAATCAACAGAAGAAGAAATACACGTGGTAAACACTAAAGGGAACGCTGAGCTCTCGCATTGTTTAAAGACTGGTAAATGGAAAATAAAGTGTGAAGAGAATTCGACGGTTATGAGATAGAAAACCTTAACATAAGCAATACAATCATTTTTTAAAGCAATATTTTGAGTCAACTCGTATTTTGTAAGCAGCCGTGTTATAAGCGGGATAATGGTCAATGCGCTTGTTTGGGTGTTTTTCTGAATAATGATGGGCTCAACACACATTATACCTTACTTATCACTGCATTATAATGTCTCAGACATGGCAAACTGCATTTACCGACAAAAGGACAGAACTTACACATGTTTTCAACGTTGTGAGTTGTATTAAAACTACTTTGTTAGGTTAAGAAAACTAAACTTCTTGATTGGGTTTATGAAACATAGGTTTAGGCAACAAAATTTAAAAAATGTAAACGTCCCCGTAGTGACCACCTTACCAATAGATGATAACAGCCAACTTACCCAACTAGAAGTAAGAATAGGGCCATTACATTTAAATTCCCTTAACTAACAGCATCCATTTCCACTGTTGATAACTTTTGTCTCTGATTTATGTTTTGATAAATCAAACCATAAAATGCTTGGGAAAGTAAAGGAAAGACTGTCGACATTGTTGAAAGAAACAATGACTGTTGGTACGAGATGGGATGCAAAAAACTGCCTTTGTTCATTCAACCATCTTTTGGCAGACATCTATGGTGGCCGACAGGGGCAAACACACTACAATGGCACAAAACACTTCCATTAGGAGAAATGCGCTGCATATTATATATAAAACGTGCCAAAACACCCGCAAATGAAGAAACATCTTCACCAACTTGTTGAAACATGCAAAGTGTCAGAAATAAAACGCAGCAAACACAAAACGGTGCAAATAGAAAATGCTGCAAGAAGACAACAACTATCCCTGTCACTGGAAGCAGACCTTAAATGTACTTTTTATTGGCATACTTTAACAATGTGCTTGCATGATTACTTCCGATATTATTGCAGATCTGCTGTAAGATAGCTAGCTAACGTAGTTTACAAGTAATTTAAAATATACTGTCAAAACGTGAAATTATGAGACAGCCAACTCTGCCAACAGTGACAATGTTTTCTTTATTTTCATGTGTTTTGGCACATCTGTGTCTTTTTATTTGTGTTTTTCAAAGTGCAGCGCGTTCTTTCTAATGCAAGTGTTTTGGGCCGTTTAGGGCTGTAGTGTGTTTGCCCCTGTCTGCCAACGTAGAACCTCTCACTACACGTGACTTTGTCCTTCTCTGCTAACAGGAGATTACGTGTCAGAAGAAATTCATGACATACGTGTTTTGAAGTTTCAAATATTCATTCTATTGGTTTAGTCAATTCTGCAACTTGATTTAAATTATTTATTTATTGTTTTTGGACAAAATTCGAATTAATTACAAAAACACACTTGAAAATCCTTAGTACTTTTTTTGTATGGATAACTTGCACTAAGTTCTTTACTTTAATTGTTTTCGGCTACACATGTGTATTTGAACTACACATGTAGGTTAAGTAGCTTAAATTCCAATAGAAATCTTATGCAATATTCAAGATGCTTGAAAACATACTTTTAACCCCTTTATTCTCACTTCCGGATTTCCACAAGAATGTAAAAAAGGTATTTGCGCAACAATATAACAATGATAATAATATAAAATTACTTTTATAGCGCAACGATGCAAGACATTTGACAAATTAGAACCAATCTTTTACAAAAGATTTTAAAAAATAAAAACTTATATTCAGAAGCCATTTACACAACACACCAGTATGCCAAATATGAACAATATTTAAATTACACATATGCTGTATTTGCTATGTGATTAACCACTGCGTCTCATTCTACCATTCAAATTTCCTCTGATATTAGCTGAGATGCTCTACATTCAGGTGTGATGATAGTAATTTTACTGAAGAAAAATATCTGAATACTTTATTCCAGATCAGGTCAGACTGAAGCAGATAGGACAGACAGGCAGACAGATAGACAGGAACAAGTGAAACAGGGATCTGCATCTCTGCCAAGAAAGCCTTATCACCATTCTGACTGAAAGAAGAGCAGGATCAAATTCCTCCTCTTACGTAACATATAGTCCCGTCCAGTTTCAGCCTGCACTTCTCCATGTCCAACTCAGACACACTGAGTTCAAAGTCAAATGTTTTACTAGTCAGGACCATAAGTTTTTAATGGCACCAAACAAACCGAAAACGGATGTGCTCGCGGTCCTAAATACAGTAAACACAGACTACATGCAAAGTTATTTAGAAACGTGTAGTCACTGATTTGCTTTAAAATAAATAATAGTAATTATGATATTACTTCGTTCCCTCACCTTCTCTCTCGCTCTCCACAACGGTCTGACCGAGAATGAGCGTCCCGGACTTCACACATATTCTCCCGCACAGAGAGACACGCTCTGCCGAACCATCTGACGGGCTGAACCACAGCGGCAGGCAGGCAGCTACTGCGCATGTCCGCCGCTGCTGCACATACTACTCTAGCTTTTAAAAAATCTTTCTTGGTGGTAAAAGCCATTGTTGTTGAATATTGAAAATGCAGTCTGTATTTTAAAACGTAGCTATAATTTGTGTTACTAGAATAGTTTAAAATAGTAGGCTATAAGGTCACAGAAATTAAAATTGTTTAGTTGTACATCCTATTTCCAATCATAAACAAAGTTATATGCCAATGCTCAAATCTGATTAAATGTTCAACCAATATAAAAAAAAAAACGTTTAAAATACATGTAAAAGTGTATTTTATTTCATCCTGGTGCAGCAATCTGGCTTATTTGGACTTGTATCAAAATATTGATATATTATTCAGGTTTATATAATCTCACTGTAGTGTCAGATGACTTTGCAGTGTTGCTTTAAACCTTATACATTAATTTTAAAAGCAGGTTTAAAAATTAAACCCCATAGAGTATTTGGGGTTGAGAAAAAATTCAATATAAATAATTCAACTTTCTCACCTGCACTTCACCTCCTGCGAGCCGTTCACAGTCTTCTTGGTTTCCTGTGTTCTTGACGTGACACCAAGCTGCGTCTCTGTTTGGTCGCCCACGTGGCTGCGAGCTGCTTCTGCTATCGGGTCCATCGGCACGTAAACATCCTGGTTCATAGCCGTTTTGGTGCCATTTGTTGCCACGCTTAAAGGTTCTCTTACATCTCTACTAGTTTCGAAATTATCCCTGCTCCTTTGCTGTGACCCTTGGTTTTTAATGGGGTCCACTGAAGGATCATTGACGCAGCCTTTAGGTACAAAGGACAGAGGTGAAGCCCGGCTGGGAGTCGGGGTGGCTGGCAGCGGCCGGTCCATGCTGGTTAGACTGAGGCTGGACAGGGCACTGAGCAGAGGGGAGTCTCGGACATGGTCCCCCGCCTTCCACTGGCTCTGCCCTTCACTCACCCCCTCCTCCTCTTTCTTCTTCTCCTCCCTCAGCCCCTTCAAGCTCTTCTTCTGTTTCTGGGTGCGGGGCACAGTGCCCACATGTGTGTGCATCTCGCCGGAGCGGGCGTAGCTTGGGCTGCGGAGGCAGTCGTCCATGTCATCCACTGATTGTTCCCTTGCTGCTGATTTGGCACCACCGAGGCTCCCATCATGCTCTGGGCCTGCCTTGATGTTGGCCTTCTCTGACGGGCGGCGGATGGAGAGATTAGTGAGGCTCCCAAACCATTTGAAACCTGGAAAGTAGGGGGAGGTTAAGCTGCATTCACATGATACGCGGCAAAACATCTCTGTGCTGAAATTGCCATTGTGACCTTATAGGTATTTCATCGAAATGTCTTGCATCCATGGTTTATAAGAAATAAGGTCTATTGACCGTGAACTCCAAAAATATACAAAATTAGTTTTTTGATGGAATGACCATTTATACTACATGAATTCTAAGAGGGTAAAAACCTTCTGGGAGAAAGTTGACAACACAAAGGTTAAAATAACTGTGATACATGCTTATAACCAACTGCTCTACAGGTTTCAACATTAATGTTGTGACACTGTAATCTACTGGATGAGGACATAGAGGAAATTATAAAGGTTATTTTAAAATATGACATGTTTTATTCAGTAGCACAGGGAAATTTAACCTGTGAACGTTAACCTTAGACCTGAGCATTCTGACTTTCATTATTACACCCGTGTTCCTGCAAATGAGTCACAATACTATTGCCTTTGCGAGATGTGGTTGTACATTTTTAAAGACAATTAAAGAATAATGTTGGACTTTAGGTCACAAATGGGACCAGCAGCTGCAAACATTACATGTTTTCTTTCTTCTGTGAAACACAAAAAAAAAAGTTTTCTTTTCCAGGGAGACATCAGAGGAATGTTGTTGTACCCTCATCTGCTGAAACTCTCATAGTTTCTATTATAATCGCTCCAGCTCTCAGCAGCATTTGATTATGTTTCTGCCCCGGGGACCTATTAGACTCTGACGGATATTTATTTCCTCAGCTATATATAGACTGAAGATTTTGTGGAGGCGAGAGAAGTGAGATGCTGTCTCTGCTCTGCACTGTTGGTTAGCTGTTGTGATTGGTCAACTGCTCAGAGATTTCAGGCCCCTTCGCTTATCATGAACAATATGATGAAGCGCTAGCCAAAAGAAGCGCGAGTGCTACATAGTGATGTGCACTATGTTGCAGGAGTAAACAAAGGATGGATGCCTTTCAGACAATGTGAGTGTGTGGGAGAGAAACCCTCTGAGATTTTAGCCTTTGCAGACTGCACACAAAGTGGCTTGAACCAGTGGCTAAATAATGTTTTAATTTGAACAAAGTAAGGCTAGCTGTTCCTTAGCTAGCTTTATGCTAAGCTAAGCTAATTGTCTGCTGGTTGCTCACTAGCTTTACATATCATTTTGAAAAATATGAGAGTGGTATCCATATCTTATTTAACGACTCTGCCAGACAGCAAATTAGCATTACCAAAATGTTGAAGCGGACCAGATGTTTTATTCAACATTTGAAGTAGGTTTGAAGTTTTAACAAATAGGCCTACAACTTACTTATCTTAAATAAAGATAAAATCCATTTTGTTTTGGGGGTTATTTTTTTCACTTTTGATGGAGAAGGCTCGTCGTTTCATTCACTCTGCTTCTGGTCTTTGTGCTAAGCTAGGCTAAATACATTCTAGATATGTCTCTGTACTGGACTCACAAAAGTGAAAATAATATCCAGAAAACTCTGAGAAGGACAGCACTGTACTGCAGGATTTCTCCAAATCTTCTCAAAATTCCTCGTATGTGTTAACTTACTTGGCAATAAACCTGTCTCTGATTCTTGATGTGTTTCTTAAATTAAAACACAGATACAACAAAACTGAATACAGTGTCAAGATAGAATCTGTTGCGTGGGAAACAACAAACCTTAAATTATCAGAAGCTGTTATCAAGGGACATTTTTTATCCCTTTATTACGAAAATGTAAAAGTGAAGACGACAAAATGGCCGAAACTTTTCTGTGTTTATTAATCTGGCGCAGTGGGGGCAGATCCCTCATGGGTGAAATTCAACTTCAACTAGTGAACAACTATAGAGTCTAACAGCAGAAGAAGAGAAGCACAGAGCTGTCCTTTCAGCAGACACTCGCTGTCTTTGCTTAAACTCTGCTCTCAGCTGGGACGCTGTCCATTCAAACTGCACAAAGACACATCTATGCTTCATTTACAATGCACCAAAAAACTGTGTGTGAGTGGGACAACCAGCCAGCACACAAACACACTCATTCACAGTGAAACAAGTGTCAATAGATAATTTTCTTTTAAAGGATTACATACTGTATATAAACTTGTATCAGCCTCCTGTGTCTACTAGAATGTATTTTCCTGGGTGGAAAGTCACTAAGTAGATCAACTCAAGTAATGAAACTGTTACTACTACTGTTTAGTATTTTTGCGTGATGTTACAGTCTTTACATGCACAAAACCTATAAAAATAGGAAGGGGGAAACCCCAAAAAGCATAATAGGGCCCCTTTAAGTGTACAAAACTGACTGTTTAAGTTCAGCAAACAAATCTGCTCAGCTGGTTTTGGGAACACGTTGGCAGGAGGTGTTGCGTGATGTTGACAGCTCTGCAGGGTCGTGGCTACCCTCCTGCAGCGGAAACACACTTTCTGTCTGTCAGAGGAGAGCTGGCTCACACTCAGCAGGATCTATTTTTCAATATGACAGCTAAAAAATAGGGAGGAAACTCCAGTCTCCATCACTTTTCTATTTCTTTAGAAAAGAAAAAAGTACACTCTTTCCCTCTTACATAGACTGATGTTAAGAGTGAAACATTTTGAAATCCAACACAGATGCCAATGTTTTGGTGTTCATTTTTTGCATCTATTTCCCATTTGTGGCAGGGAAACAAATACATTTGTATAAGTCTCGTAAACATGAGTTAACAAAAGCCTCCTATACAATTACATATTCAATAACCTTAGTAACCAATCTGCAACCTTAGTGCTAGATGGCACTTAATCACACCCAACCTTCATAAGTTCCAATGCAACAGTGTAAAAATACTCCATCACAACACACACAAATGTCCTGCATTCAAACCCCTACTTAAGTAGAAAAAATATGTATTGTCATCCAGATGTACTTAAAGGTTCAGTTGGTAACTTTCTCTAAAATGCTGTTTTACGATATTTTCTGAAATTGTCCCTCTAAGATATCAGACTGTAGTGCATTTTGCAAGTGCCTCAAAAGGCATTTGCAAGATGAAATCGGGCCTGAAGGAAACCAACCAATCACAGCTGAAGAGTCTCTAAAGCAATGTTACTGTTTGTGAATTCCGACTGTCAGATTAGGCAGCGCAGATAAAATGACCTATATAGAAAAACAGATCAGCCAAAACCAAGCTCCTCCTACGAGCTGGAGCAATCTCTCTCATTTGACAGCTAAATATTACACTCAAATATTTGGAGCAGAATTAGGCAGTGCAGTAACAGTCTCCTAAATTCATATTTGACACTGCATAAGAGACTACTCAGCTCTGATTGGTTGTATTCCTTTGGTTCTGTTCCTCCTTGTATTTGTTGTAGTTCTAGCATTACGCAGTTAGGAGCACTAAAAGGAGGCACGTGAACATGCTTTTTTTCACAGATGATCTGTCTCGTGCCTTACTCTTAGGCTAAAGTGCCAGTTTTGGCAAATATCAACTTCCAGTGGGAAATACATGTGTTCCGCAGTAAAATGTCCCCTCGAAGTTATTTTACTCCTGTTAATGACACAACATTGTTAGAGCAGCATTTAACTGTTACTGCCGCTCAGGGTGGAGATAGCTTTATATAAAGTTTCTTAGTTTATTGCAGTTGTTTGCAACCTGGTTGGGCCCCTCCAAAGACTCAGATACATTGGAGAGGTTGTTGAAAGTTAACAAAAAAGGGAAGAAGGAAAAAAACAAGTTTAAGCCATATACGGAGGGAACAGCTAACTACTCAAAGACATCTGAAATGTGAAAAGGAATCCAAATTAAACATGGTGTTTTGTCAAAAAAAATTGGAACCAATGGTTGAATCCTTCACAATGCATTGTGCTTTATACACTTGTATAAGTAAATACAATGTAAATGTTGTTCCAGGTACAATATTTGGTTTCCATATTCCCCATACATTTCGTTAACTCAGTCTTATGTTAGATTTGGAATGAAAAGAGTTGTACTTTTAAAATAAAAATATTTTATTAAATAAAAAACTCATAAAAATTGTAATATTCCCTCTAAATTAAAGTCTACTTCCTGTTGTTTCATCCAAAGAACTTAATTGACCCTCTAGCAATTGCACCATGGGTATATATGAAGGTATTGTATTTTGTCCTTTTTGTGCAATAGGGACTTTGTTGAAAACATTTAAGGAAAAAAACACAACACATCAGAAATATTACACAACAATATTTTGAACTAAAATATAACTTACTCAGTTTTCGTTTGTTCATGTTTCAGATGTCAACTTCCTGGTGTATTTAGTGATATAAAACAGTTTGCTGCAGAGTTACAATGAGCCGCGTGCTCTTTACCCTTCAGAGTGACTCTGCTTCCTGTTCTCTGAACACAGCGGAAGAGTCGCGGTGCATTTCATGTCAAGTTGATGCCATCAGGAGGCATGTCACTTTCTGACTTCACAGCGGAAATGTGTCATTTGGGAGGAAGCCACAGTGGAGTTTTGACAGCTTTTTTATTTCCACTTAAAGGGCAGAAAAGGCAACCCATACAAACCGTGCATCGGGCCCAATACACTTACATTAGGGTAAACGTGCTGCACAACAAGATGTAAATATGTAACACAAATGTGCCAAAACACGTGCAAATGAAGAAACATCTCCACCAACTTGAAAACACAGGCATAGTATTTAGAAATAATTCACCAACTTGAAGAATCAAGCTCAGCGTTTAGTAAAAGCGCTGGATAAACAAACTGTTGCAAGAAGCTCAAAACACAACAGAAACGAGGTCAACTAAAAAGTGACGCACACAGCTGGACCTTAAGCGCCTGTTGACTTTCGGGTATTATAAAGTTGTCCAACTGTGACTCTCGCAGAGTCTGTTTATTACTTGTAACATTGTTTTGTCAGTATATTTGAAATTGCTAGGTTCATCATTGGTCACCATGAGATCACATTGTTAAAATAAAACTAATATTTTAGGTTAGCTTCCATTGACAGTTTACAGTTGGTCAAATTCATAATCCCTGAACTTCAACAAGCGCTCAGTCCCAGCTGTGTGCATCACTTTTTTAGTGTCCCTGATTTAGTTGTGTTTTGAGCAGCACGTTGCTCCCAATGTAAGTGTTTTTGGCCGTTGTAGCACGTTTGCACCTGTCGGCCACTGTAGAAAACTTTAAAACTCATTATAATATGAAAATAACATTTTGCAATGAGCCATATTCTTTTTCTTCAACATCTGACTCTTCAAATGAAACAATTGTCTCCTGAGTGTATACTGTCACTGAAAACCTACCTAAAAAGTTGTATTGACTTATTATAACAGTGTGATTGCATGATTCCTTCCGAAATTATTGCAGATCTGCCGTAAGCTATAGCAAGCTAACAAAGCATTGTCTGTTTTTTGTGTGACTGTCTTCTTTAAGTGTGACTTTTGTAAAGTGTCTTTGTTTATATTGAAAAGTGCTATATAAATTAAATGCATTGTTATTATCATAGCTAACCCTGTAATTGAATTGGAAAGTTAAATATTATAAAAATATTATAGTGTTTAAATACTCTCCCTTAAAGTTGTGCATTCAAAACCTTACACCAAGCCTGTTTTTCAGGTCTCAGGCTCGAAAATGACATTTCCAGAACAAATGACCATAACTACACTTCTAAAAGGGTTACATTAATAATCTTTATTTTCAAAGTAATGATAAACCTGTGAGTTGGAAGTAGAAAAGTCAGAATCAATATAGATGTTTTTTTATTTTAAAGAAAATTCAAGATTGAACATAGTAAAAAACTGTAAATTATAGGGTCCGTCCAAAAATTCTTTTTTACTTATAGTGAAAACTACCCTTGGATGATGGGTTAGTGCAGGGTTCCCAAACTTTGCCATGCCAAGGACCCCTATATAGCATTATCGTCTGGCGGGGACCCCCCTGTTGCAATTTATTTTTTAAATGATGAGTACATTATGGAGAATATGAAAAATTAATCATACAGCTTAATACATTTTCTTAATATATATTTG